AGGCGGGCAGATCACGAGGTCGAGGTCAAGAGGTTGAGACCATCCTGGCCAACATGGTGAAACCCTGACTCTACTAAAAAATACAAAAAAATTAGCTAGGCATGGTGGTGTGCACCTGTAGTCCCAGCTACTCGGGAGGCTGAGGCAGAATTGCTTGAACCCAGGAGGTGGAAATTGCAGTGAGCCGATTGTGCCACTGCACTCCAGCCTGGTGCCTGGTGACAGAGCAAGACTCCATCTCAAAAAAGAAAAGAAATATAAATTACTGAACCAAATGAGGTCTATTCCCATCTGTCCATAACCCCCTCCCTTTGTTTTTTGGGACAGAGTCTTGCTGTGACACCCAGGCTGGAGTGCAGTGTTGCAAACTCAGCTCACTGCAAACTCTGCCTCCCGGGATCAAATGATTCTCCTGCCTTAGCCTCCAGAGTAGCTGGGATTATAGGTGTCCATGACCATGCCTGGCTAATTTTTGTATTTTTAGTAGAGATAGGGTTTTGCCATGTTGGCCAGGTTGGTTTCGAACTCCTGACCTCAGGTGATCCACCTGCTTTGGCTTCCCAAAGTGCTGGGATTACAGGTGTGAGCCATCATGCCTGGCCCTCAAACTTTTTTTTAAGGGCCTTAATCTCATCCATGATGGCTCTGTACTCATGATTTAATCATTTCCTGGAGACCCTACCTCTTAGTATTGTCACACTGGCAATTTTCAACAGATAAATTTTCAAGGACACATTCAGACCATAGCTTACTGCCCTTGGCCCCCAAAATTTATGTCCTTCTCACATGCAAAATACATTTTTCAGGTGCAGTTGCTCACACCTGTAATCCCAGCACTTTGGAAGGCTGAGGCAGACAGATCAGAGGCACGATTCATCCTGAGGCAAATTCTTCTCCAGCTGTGAGCCTGTGAAATCAAATACATACTGTACTTCCAAAACAAAAACACAATGATGGGCCAGGAATAGGATTCACATTCTCATTCCAAAAGGGATAAATAGGCAAGAAGAAAAGAGTAATAGGTCCCAAGTAAAACATCCAACAAAGCAAACATTGGCTTTTAACGGAGTATCTTGCCTTCTGGATGCATTGGGTTAGGGGTTGGACCCCAAAGCCCCAGGCTGCCCTACCCCATGGTTTTGATGGGCACTGCGAACCCAGCAGCTTTCAGAAGTTGAAGAGAGATGCCTGGGCTCTCTCAGGTAGGTATTGTGTGTTGGTGACTTTACAGGTCTGGAGTCTCAGAGGTGGCCCTGCCAATACAGCTCTCTAACAGTCATTGTTAGCCTTAGACAGCAGAGAACTACCACTGAGGGTTTTGCTTTTGGTTTTTTGAGACGGTCTCACTCTGTAACCCAGGCTGGAGTGCACCGGCACCATTATAGCTCACTGCAGCCTCAAACTCCCTGGTTCAAACAGTCCTTCTGCCCCAGCCTCCTGAGCAGCTGGAACTATAGGCATGCACCACCATGCCCCGATCACTGAGTTTTTTAGTGATATGGTGTCATCAGTTTGGTTCTTCTGTCCTTTTTGTAGAACATAATCCATAGGTGGGTTTTCTGGCCTTAGAAAATATATCTACTCCATATAAAAAAAATAATAATAATAAATAGAAAATATATCTCTCCACGGCTGGGTGCAGTAGCTCATGTCTGTAATCTCAGCATGTTGGGGGGCCAGGGCAGGTGGATCACTTATTAGTAGTTTGAGACCAGCCCGGCCAACATGGTGAAACCCTGTGTCTATTAAAAATACAAAAAATTAGCCAGGCATGGTGGTGTGCACCTGTAGTCCTAGCTACTCAGCAGGCTAAGGCAGGACAATCCCTTGAACCTGGCATGTGGGGCTTGCAGTGAACTGAGATGGTACCATTGCACTCCAGCCTAAGCAACAGAGCCAGACTCCATCTCAAAAAAAAAAAAAAACTGTTGTAGATGTAAAAACATCTTTGTGTCCCCAACTTGAGAAAGTCTCGCTGCTCAGAAGGACATACTCTCTAATGCCCTCCTCAAAGATATGGCCGACATTGATAATGAAAAAGGTAGAACCTTTCCACAGGCAGAGTGAAGAACGTGGATGAAGTGCTTCCAGGAAGCAACACAAGAGCCTCATCAATGTCATTCCCTATCCCTTAGGAAGGGGAATCTCCTATCATTTGGCAAGTAATACTTAAGATATTGGCTGGGTGTGGTGGCTCACACCTATAATTCCAGCACCACAGGAGGCTGAGGTGGGTAGATAGCTTTAGCCCAGGAATTTGAGACCAGCCAGGGCAACAAAGTGAGACCCTGTCTCTACTAAAAAAAAAAAAA